ATGTATATGTATATGTATATATGTATATATATATATAGATATATATGCATATACGATCAATTACAGAATGAAGCTGAAATTAAGCATATTATATGTGTCTAAGTTACACTGATACTATTCAGAATGGAGGAAGAATAAATGCACTCATTTATCTGTTTGCAAACGTTATACGATTCTACGACATATGGTGTAGGAGCTGAGTATACAAAAATATTTCACATGTGTGTATTGCCGATGGTATGGCATATATCACCGCAATGAACCGAAATCGAAAATCTATTTGGACTATTTGAACATAAGACCAAGCACACTAGATGTCGGGGAAGTCGATGTTGTTGTAAATATAAACACCGACGTCGTAAATAGTATTGCCGAAGTGAACTACATCACGGATGCAACTACAGTAAAATTTATCGATACATATAGACACGTTGCATGTTACCATGTATACATGTTGCATGTTACATGTATACATGTTGCATGTACAAGAACATATATATACATTGCATTCGGTCCTGCCTCACGCACCTGGGGAAGTATGTACAATAGTGGGGTTATATCAGGATTGTAGTAGGAATAATAATAATACTACTAATAGCAGTAGTAGTAGTACTAGTTCTAATTGAAGTAATAATAGTAGTATTGTATAGCAAAAGTAATATTTGTCTGCCTAATGATGGTTTATCTATTCCTAAGGGCAGATTCGCAGCATGACTCGCCCATTAATAATGACCCTGAACGGGCGAAACGCCGTCGTAAACTGCTTGGCCCGGGGACACCCGACGTTTCACCCGCCGCCAGTGATACAGAAGCGACTGACACTGAAATGAGCAATGATCTGGTGCGGGGTATGTGAAGACCTTGTTTGCGTTTGTATATCTGGACATAGACGTATAACGTATATAAATGCCGTCATTCCAGTATACGTGTGTGTATCTTGGTTTCTCAGACTTCCTTTTCCGATGGCTATTCACCTAGCAGCCACTCAACTCAACCGTGTACGGGATGGGCTTGGGCCTGTACCGCACCGAGGAATAGGAACTGCGGTGACAAACGGCAGACCAGAGCACTCGTATATGAGGTGAGGCGTGGTTGTCCTTGTTGTTTTCCAATACGTGCTCGTGCACACAGTTATAAATAGAACAGCCGTGTGATATACACACTCCTCAGATATGAACACCAGTTGGCACGCTGGGATGGTTTGCTGTGCGTGGGTGTACTACTGAGCCTTTGGGGAATGGCGTTGGTTAACACTTTAATAGGCCACGGGCGCTGACTGGAATGTGGAGCCTGACATGGAAATGGGGCGATACGAATGGGGCCACATCTCTCGTCTGCCAAAGAATCCATCACAGCCCAAACAAGTCGTACGCTTAGAATTTAGGGGTTTAGAAGTTTAGTGTTTTACCTCCAGGGTTTAGTGTTTAGGGTTTAGAAGCAGTTTTCGCATCAAAGGTTTGAGCAATCCATCTACACAACTGGCTGCTAAAGTGGTGCGTGCGGGAGACTGACTGGTCACACAGTATATACACATGCACTTTTATTCCCATATGGTGTATCGCATATTGTCGTGCGCGAGTAGAACTGGTTACATATACATATACTACTTGGTTATATACACAATTTATGACATATATATACACTAATTGGTTACATATATATACACTACTTGGTTACGTACACAGCATATGGCATATACATACACTACTTGGTTACATATATATACACTACTTGGTTACATAATCAACATGGGACATATATACACACTACTTGGTTACATATGCACACACTCATATTATCCTATGACATACCACAGGCCGACACTCGCACGACTGAGTCGAATGAAGTCGTTGGTACATGAACAGCCCACCCGCACTCTACAGAAGTCGCGGGATATAGGTAGTGTTGCGGCAAACACTCTGCGCAAAGCACACACCACGGGGATAGCTTTCCAGCGAACAAAGACCGAGCCACAGAGAGAAGGGAACAGCCACAACCACACCTCAGGAGAGTACACACAGCGCACTGATAGGACACCAGGGTATGCTATCGATATGCCGCACCACGCGTCGAGAGTCACGTCACAGGGAACCCGAAGTTCGGTACAAACCGACGTGAAGGGACATGGCTACATATCTAGGGACCATTCACAAAGCACATTAAATGCACCGCAGAGGGGCACGAACAAACAGTACTACGCCTTAGACATGCAGCCACCACGTGCTATGGCTAAGACACAGTCCAGCAGGCACATGCACACCAATAGCCTACGCAGCACGCTTAACGCTGGGACGCGGTCACGGGCGAACCCCACACTAGTGCACCGACAGAGGAGTGTGGACGTGCAAGGGAAGGGTATGGGAGAGGAGATGGCCACGAGCACGTCTATATACCGTGCGGCAATAAAGAACCCACGGACTCACGCATCTGCACGGGCAACCAGTTCAGCGGAGAAGAGTACGCAGACAGACACATACGCACGTGTAAATAACGAGGGTGGGGTACCCCCAAGTGACGGATATGCGAAACAACTGCAAGCGGAGGTGGAGGTATGTGCTGTGCGTCTGTTGAGCAAATCACAAAGCACTGGGATACGGACGACACGGAAGGACGTCGAGTGTGAGATAGACTCGGCGGCGTTCAAAACCTGGGGGGAGCAATATGCCACACAAAATACTTTAATGGGCAGAGCACTGAGGCGAGGGACAGACAGGGACACATATATACTCACACAGCGCCAGGCCCACCTCACACGTACGCGTACACACCACCGGGAAACTTGGCGAGCAATAGATGTAGGCAGTCCTACGGCGACGAGTGGGGAACAGACAGAAGCCAAGGCACAGGAGGCACGCACACAGCCGAGTAGACACACACACACCCTCCGCAAGACACTCTCACAGCCATCACAGCACACGGCGACCCATAGGGACAGCCACGAGTACACACGTACGCTACAAGCACGGCGTATGAGGAGCGTACCGCACTTTGCGGAGACTGGAGATAAGTACACTCACAAGCGCACTACGGATAGTGACCCAGACACTCTCTGTAGCGGGGCAGGCCCTGGTGGTGCGGGTGGTAGACGAAGGAGTAATTATATTTATAGCAGGGGCGGTTGTGCTACGAATAGCCGCGGGAGCAGTCCAACCAAAATACAGAGAATCGGTGGTGCATCTACGGGACTGAATACGTCCAATGCGAGGGAGGGTTTGGATGGAGCAGGAGTCAATTCTAATAATAGAACTGGCAGCTGCACCTCCGACTCAGAGAGATGGAGGATGATTCTTGAAACAGGTGCGAAGGGGTATTCTATTGCAAAAACGTACCCCACCACTTTTAAATCGCACTCGACTATTGCGGAACCGTATTCAATCACTGCGAATACGTACTCAACAACTCGGAATACGTACTCAACAACTGGGAATACGTACTCCACTGCTAAGCCTGTACGGCCGGCCACCCAAGTCCAGAGGGCGAAGTCGCTTACAGATAAACGTAAAAGGTGTGCTTTACGTTGTGTACGCCTGTACCCTTCAGGTTATTCGTTGTATTGTGTGTGCATGTGTAATGCCTGGCTTCCTGTCTGTCTATGTGGCCGAGACAGCGGTCAATCTTTGAGGAGATTCGCGCAGGTGAATGTACACGCGTCTTTATGTCCTCTCGCACAAGTTCGGGATGACATATACACATATCCGAACACCCGCATGTAGTATCGGAATATATCAGAGTAAATAGACGTTAAAGTGCACTTGCATATAACGTGTGTATTTGAATAACGTGTGTATTTGAATGTACATGCGTGTGTGTGCATATCATGTACGATACATATGTTTGTGTATGTGTGGTGTATATGGATGTGTATGAGTGGTGTATATGAATATGTGTGCTTTTGTGTATGCGTGCTGAACTCCTTCAGAGGTTTTGGCGTTCGTTGCTGACGCCATCCGACAATCATTGGACATATAATAGTATGAGCTTGATATATATTATTATAGGCAGTAAGCATGTATTACGTACATATCTACACGCATTCTCATTTATACAATATGATATATGTATAAATTAAAGCCGTTTCTTATGACCTGCCACTGATAATATATAATCCTCCTCTTTAATTGTCTTGACAGCATTGACACCAGCAACCAGGGTCAGCCTGAGAGCCTTCCAAGAAAACGGGCCGCGACCGCAATGCACACAATGCTCCAATCAAATGGCAGAGAATTATCGTTTAAGTCCCAATCAAAAGCCAGTAAAAGCGGGCCGGGCGAATCAAAAACTAAGGAGAAAACGAAGCACCGTTTGTCGATTAGTGAAAGGGCTTTAAAGCCCAGGGAGAGTATGAGACCGGCTGATACGTTGGGCGCGGCACCCCCGTCTGTGCATCCAGGGCCGACAATGCGAAGGTGTGGATGATGCGATCGATATGACGAGAAGCGAGAGTACAATGCAGTAGATGATTCGACGGGTGTAGAGAGAATCGGAGATGCGTAGACGCGTCTATTCAGTTTATTGTATGCATGCAACTCGCATAACACGATGGTGTGGATCATTGGACGGACACAGCGCCTGGAACACGAGACGGATAGGATTCGATGAATATATAATAAACAGAGAGTACGAAGACGGATAGGATCCAATGAATATAAAAT